TCTGCATCAACTCTACTGCTATGACCCTTAGGCAGCTCTGATGGCCAATTTCCAATGCAAATCAGCCGTCTCTACGCTGAACATGTCTGAAATGCCATTACTCATGCAGATATTGTGAAATCAGCCATTAGCGGCAGAAACCTCATGAAAAGTTGTTAGGGTCTGGACTGGAATGCTAATTATGAAAGAGCTTCACTGCTGAAGCAAAGGGCCAGGGACTTGTGGACCAGTGGTAACCAACTAGCAATTATAATAAACATCTTGAATCCATTCAGTGCACTATACTCAGTGTGAGCCTGCTCTGTGTGAGCTTTCTGTACAATGAGTATACAAACACATTAAAATCCAGGATGAGAATGTGTGTATTTTCCATCTCTACAGAAAAGAAAATATTCGGGGGCTATTTGTTTGGTTTGATACACAGTGAAAGTAACAGAAATTATTAAATATACAAGAAAAGCAGACAAAAGACCACCTTAAAAGATTCACCAAGCTAACGGCTGTGCCATTTGGCTTGTGAGTCTGAATGTAAGGAGCTTGGGACACACTGATGGGCCATGTTGTATTAATTGTAGGAGTATAAAAACACTTTTTTGCACTATGTTGTCAAATATTGATTTCTTGTCAGAATGTCCGATTGTCCAACTGGAGCTCGCTGTTGGATTATGGGAAGTTGGCTAGATGCTGCAGAGTTGTCTGGCATGTGTGTACGTGTGTGTGTGCAAATTTTGAGCTCTATGCTAAATATGTCCACTCATCTCTTGTGTCACCAGGAGCCCCGGGCTCACACCATGACGTTAATAGTTTGACAGGCCCCACTGCTCTTCTCGCTTTTCCATCCCTCCATCTGCTCCTCTTTGTCTCCCTTCCTGTGGCTCTTTCCCACTTTATTTCCATCACTTTGTGTCACTTACTCTCTCACTCGTTGCCTCTTGGTGCCTTTGGACAAATGCAGGTCACAGCCAGAAAAAAAAAAAGTTTTGAAAGGGAAAAGGAGTCTAGACACTTTTTTTCAATTCAAAGTTTTAAGAAGGTTTGAGCATTTTGGCAAACTGTTCGGTATATTAGGTACTGTGTATTTTCTTAGTGTCAATTTATTTTTCAGGGATGGGTCGGTAACTTATGCTTTAGTACTCATAAAAGTTAATGTACTTTCCTGAGACTTTTTCCAGTACTTACTTACTATCTATGCAGACCAGTACCTTTAAGTGTTAACACACTACATGTGCAATAAAGTAGAACAAACAACCATCCCTCCTCCGTCCACTCTTAAAGCATTTAAAAGGCTGCTTTCTAGAGCAGTGGTTGCCTACCTGGATGTCTGGACCCCCACAAGGGGGACATGAGATGATTACTAAGGAAGGAAATAAGTTATATGAAATTCAGTTACAAGAAATGTGGTTTACTTTTTTAAATTTTCACTTGTATTTGCCCTTTTCTATTGAAATTAAATTAACATTTTAAAATTTTAGCCTGCAGTACTCCAAAGCACCATGGAGGTTTACGATTGAGTGTGTGAGTGGGGGCTCTGATGCTCAACTGTCACTGGTTCAAGTCCCTGATATCTCCACAGGTGGTGAAATAATGTTATGAAGTTCAGCTGTTCTAACCCTAACCCTAACTGTTAACTGTCAGGGTGTGAGAAAGGTCACTTAAGAAGCTAATTAAGGAGTAACGACAGTAATCACTGGTAAATTATAATTGACATGACAAAAAAACACTTTTCGGGGTGTAAGGTTGTTGCTGAGGAAACTCCAAACAATGTTTACTCTGTCACAGGTGCCGCAGATGCAGCTAGACTACATTAGCGCATAATCACAATTGAGCTTAACATCACATCTGTCTTATTTGCTAACTAAGGTTTTTAACACTTACACATAGGTAGCAGACAAAACAACTTTCTACCTTTCTTGCTCAGCTTTCAAACCATAGTCTGAAGCACAGGGAAGATGTTTGCCAGGGCTAACCTCCTTCACATTTCCAGCAGCTATAAGCTCATGTCACTGTCACCTTTATGCCGTCCGCTCTCTTTTTCCTTTTTCTCAAACACACTGGCTACGCACACATATTACACACTTTCTTATTCCTTATTCCTTACAGGTTAGTTACACAGCTCTTATAATAGTAACTTTCATGTAGATGTCATTTGGTGATTGAGGAGAGGGAGTGAAAAACATTAGTAGACCATTAATATTAATGATCGAATTTCAAAATTTTGGGGTGGTTTTTGTAATTTTGTAGCGACAGTGCACCACTGCTAAATTAATTCAAGGGAAACACTGCTAATGCAGAGGGCAGCAGCAAGAGGCCTTGGCAAATGAAGCCAGTAGTGAAATCTCAGTCTCAGCCAGGGATTATGAGTTTGCATGCATAATATTTGTGAAGATAATATGAAAATGGGATTCTGTTGCTATGATATTTATATTTTGGATAAGGCTGTTGACACTATCTTATATGCGTGGTCTGCGTTTTAGTGATAGTGATAGCAACTGCCCCTGAACACCATCCTCTAATGAGGGCACCACATTTTTTTTTAGGTATTCAACTACCAGTATCACACTCACCATTTAGTCAGCTTCATGCTAGTTGTGCAACAGACCAACAGACCACCAGGCTGCTTACTGCCAAGTTTCCAGCCAGAATTAAACCAGTCCCCAAGTCACCCTCCAGCAGTCCACTGGCAGCCAATATGTTCAGAGAAGTTACAAGTTAGTTTTTCATTTTTACTTTTCTGTTGTTTCACAAAGAACATTTTTATGTTAATATGTGGCTAAACTCTCTAGACCATAAGAGAGTGTTTGTCCACTTTAATATACATGTTAACCTAGGAATGCTTTTAGTCTAGAACTTGAGTTTATCATTTCTATGTATTTTATGTATAATCCAGTAAATTTTCAGTTTTAGTTGTGAGACTCAGGAATTCCAAAAGTAGATATTTCCATAGATATTATGTTATTTTATGTTATTAAGTGCTGTGTTATTTCAAGGATTGTATTTAAGTTATAATATTTGAAGAGCATCAATCAATTAACATTGAATCAAATGATTACCAGTACGCCTAATGTGTAAGGCCGACAGGTGGTATCAAACCCACTGAGAATCACACCCAAACCTTCAGCTGTTAAATCAATGTTTTGGCTTTTCCATACATTGTTTAATTGTGTGGTCTGTCCTTTAAAAGGATACAAAATGGTGTGTTTCTCCGTTCAAAATCTCCTCTAACCTGCCTGTGAATTCTGGCCTGGTGCAAAAAAATTGATGTAGCATGAAATTTGACCGGGAGAATTAAAAAAAACTGCCATAGTATAAGGAACACAACACCGTATGCATACAATATGATTTTTTTTTATGCAACCAGAACAATGGGATCTGCATTTATATTTATCACAGTCGCTGTAACATCCAGCATCATAGCCCTCAGTGTACGTTGACAACACTGTCCTCTAGCAATTGGAGGTTTAACCACAAAATACAATATCACAAAATAAAATATTGTGATACGATATTTACACCCCTAATAATCATCTATTTATAGTGATTATTATTTGAAAATGGGGTAACCTCTGTGGAATAATTGGAACAGAGACTGGTTGGCCTATATCGGTGTGGTAGTGTATTAGTTCTGGACTAAAACTGGCTGCCATCACCAGAAATCAGCCATTACATTCTGCATAAAGACCTGCTATGGACCACAAATGTTGGAGGTATGACTGTGTTTCTCTATACTTCAGCTTGGGCTGAATGGACACCAGGCCTGGGCGGTCATTCAACCCCAAATGGGGCCATATCTCAGCCTCTTATTTTGTCCACATCTCTGCCAATGAAAATTTGCTGCTTTTGCACCAAGAAATGTGCTTGGCTGCAAGTCAATATCCTCAGTGGCTGGTGATTTATGCCGTGGAGAAGAGTGTTTCCTGAGAAGCTCTGATTCCTCACGATGAGCTATGATCACACACTTGTACACGTACATCAAATAATGGTCAGAGAAGTGAGCTGAACGACAAGTCAAGAGAAAGTCTGTTTCCCTGGAATGAGCAATGATCAAGAGGCCTGTAAACACACACACACACACACACACATTCATACTGTGAGCTGTATGATGAGTTATAATGATGAGTGAGGGTGTGACAGATTGAGCCTTCGTTCCAAGTTTGTCCACAGTGTGAATAATGGCCCTGGAAGTTGTCCAAGCTTCCTGTTTTCATTTTTTTTTTCAGTTTCCCTCTTCTTTCTGGACTTATCTACTATGTTTTTAATTTATCTCCCTTCCAGTGTCGTGTTTTAGGGCTCCATTTGCATATTTTTGTCTTTTTCCTCTCTTGTAAAATCCCTATCGTAGCTGTGTTTCTTCTCATCTCTTATCTCCCCTCATCTCTTTTTATTCTGCCTCTCTGTTGGTTTATGGTCAACACAACCTTTCTGTAGCAGTCTTTAGCCTGGATTCTGATTACTTTAAGATTCTCAACTTTCTAGATACCCAGCACAACCCCACATGACTCTATTAATAATATTTTGTTTTTATCTGTGTCTTCATTCTTTGTATTGCTTTGTTCCATTCCACCACAGATTGGCAAGATGGTCTGTTGATATTAACAAAATTCCTTTTGACTTTGTACTGAAACAACATATGGATCCCTTGAGGTTGTCTTGTTCAAAGATTCTGATGATAAAGAATTTAGCAAATAATTCATTTTAATTATGTTTAAATGCACACATGGTGGGATATAACTGCTATAAGTAAATTTACTCATGTACTT